AGTAACAGAAATTTACTTAACTGTGCTAATGGATTGGCATCTTTTCTTGCACTGTTATTTATTTTACATGCTAGCATTTTTTGAGTATAGACCTTAAGTTGGGCATGGTCATAAATACTGTGCATGCATTAACTCACGGGATTCACATAATAAATGTCAGAGTTAGGTGAAATCATTTCTACTACTCTAGAAAGAAGAAAACCAAGTTTAAAGAAGCTTAAAGAGGACCTTCTCCAAAGTCCTGCAGCTGTCAGTGCTGGAACTAAGACTTAGAATTGAGTTTCTCTAACTCCAAAAACCATTTTCCTAAGAACTATCATACCTGTCTGTCATCTTGAACTCTCTGGAGTCAGACCATAGGAGTTCCAATTTTGGCTCCACCACATACCAGCTTGATGGCACTGACAAGTTTCTTAAATTTTCTGTATCTCAGTTTCCTCATCTATAAATAATAAATATATTATTGGGAATATATTGGGAAATGATAAAATGTAACCCATATGGTTGGTGAGAAGTAAATTAAATACTTAAAGCACTTAATTCGGTGCCTGAAGTACAGTAAATGATCAACAATTGGTAGCTATTTTCATTTTTGTTCATTCAGCATAGCACTTGCTGAATGAAGAAAAATTGAGCACTTCAGGGAAGATAAAGATAAATATGCGGTGTTTGTATTCAGGGACCAGGTAGGGTAGGGGAGAAGAGAGATATGTAGTCAAATAATTCAATACAAGGCAGACAATGAGGAGAGAGAGAAAGAAGGGCTCAAATAAAAAAGACTATATCTAATCCAGTTGGAGGAATCTGAGATACTTTAATGAAAGAGACAACATTGGATCAAAAACGTATGGAACATTTACAATTGCTGGCTGTATTCCAGATCCTGGGATCAGAGGAGAAGAATCTCACTGTCTAGTGGTCTTTTATGGCCGTAAATCAGATCATAAGATCCTCAAGGGCTTCTTTGTTTCCTCCTGAATACTCCAAAACATACATGGTGGCTTTTCTTAGTGCCACTACTCAGATTACCAGAGCTCAATGATCAGTTTGGTCACAGCTGTGGTAGCACCCTGCATCCTCACCTCCCACAGCATCCCAAGTCCTCAGCACTTAGTAAGTGACTTGTATCTGGGGGAATTTGAAACCAAAGAGAATTTTGTAAGGCTAAAGGCCCATATGAAAGGTCAAAGAGGTGTACGTATGCCATATTGAATCATAAGAGGTACACCAGAAGAAAGGATTGCTCATATACTCAAAATGATATCATATTTTTGAGGCATTATCAGTAGTTCTGGAAGATTTAGCAATTGACTTTATAACTGCTTCTCCCTCTCCTAATTCCACATTTATATTTTCAGCTGCTTGACACTCCACCTGAATGTTTCACTCCAAGCTAAAATGTTAAAATCCAAGTTGGTGATTTTTCTCTCTCAGTTAGCTCCTTCTCCTCTTTTCTCTATGTCCATTGAGGGTCCACCATTTTCCTATTTCTCTAGAGTCTAACCAAGCACTGTTTAATGATAAATAAAGTGATCCATGCGTGTAACTTAAAATTTTCTAGTAGCCACATTTAAAGTGTTAAAAGAAACACATTCAACTAATTCTTAAATATGGTATTTAACCCAAAATATATAAAATGTCAGCATTTCAACATGTAATCAATATAAAAATTAATGAAGTACTTACGTTCTTTGATGAAAACTTCTTAGAAATCAGAGAATATTTTATACTTACACTACTTCTCAATTTAGACTAGCCACAGTTCAAGTGATTAATAGCTACATGTGGATAATGGCTACCATATTGGACAGTGGAGGTCTAGACGTTATAGATAGCTTTCGCTCATTCTCCTTCACCCTCTATGGAGACATTTACTATGTCTCTGCACTGTCTCTCATAGCTATCTTGCCATTTCCATTTACCATGTTATTTATCTACCAAGCACCTTAATTACCTCACAGGTCCCCCCTCTACTCTGTTTCCTTGTTCCAATCCATCAAATAAACTATTGCCAGATGAAGTTTCCCAAAATGCTACCAAAAAACCATCAATGGCTCCCAATTACCTACCAAAGAGCATTTAAATACCCCACCCTGGTGTTCAAAGTTCTCCACCAAATGCCCCCCAATCATTTCACAGCCTCATTTTTCATTACTTCCCTTGCTTTAGCTAATCTAGACTACAGATTGTTCACAATCTTACCCCTACATTCCTAACTCTGTCCCTTTGGTCATTGAACCTCTCCTCTGCCTATTAAAATTTTACCATTTTGGGGCCAGCCCGGTGGCACAGTGGTTAAGTACACACATTCCACTTCAGCAGCCCGGGGTTCAGCAGTTTGGATCCCAGGTGCGGACGTGGCACCGCTTGGCAAGCCATGCTGTGGTAGGTGTCCCACATAGAAAGTAGAGGAAGATGGGCACAGATGTTAGCTCAGGGCCAGTCTTCCTCAAAAAAAAAAAAAAAATTTACCCTTTCTTCTAAGTTGTTGCTGAACTCCACTTTTTCATTAATCCTTGCCTGTTCTTCCGAACTAGATTGGATCTCTTATTTCATAGCACAAACCTAATTTCTCACGTAATTTAGGTAAATCTATTTTGACTTAGAGTCATGCATGTCTTTTTCTTATCCTTTCTCTATTTTAGCCTGTGGGCCAGGATAGGATCATTAAAATCTCAGTATCCCAAGCAGCTCTCAACTGGTTCCATGAATCTATAAATAGATAGCTAAGAGAAGCAAATCTCTGAGACCCAGTGGTGGCAATAAGCAAAACTATGAAAAACCAAATTTTTGAAATATATTTTCATTATTCAGGCAACAAAAAATACCCAGAAAGGCAAAATATTTATTGGGATTTTTTTCCTATAAACTTGGACAGGGAAGCTAAAATTAAAAGTCAACACTTAGCCAACAAACTTTCTTTTGGGGATGTGTTTTATAGGCAGAGTTGTTTGGGAAACTGCTGAATTTCAGAAGAAGGGATGGAACCATTCCTGAAGTGTTGTGTCATATTATAATTCAGATACAAAATGTATACTTCCTCACCATGTCTGGGAGCATTTTTCCAATACTATAATTTTGATTTTGGCTGAGGATATCACCAAATTCTCCCAGGTAATGTCAAACTCCGTATCCAGGACCATTATTTGGTCTTTGTTCCTGGGTAATAGGATGCAAGTTTATAAGGCAGTGGGCCAGTATTATGTAAGGAAATATAAAAGTTTCTTCAGATGAAACCAAACCAATGAAAATAAATTAATTGTGAAGTACACAAGTAAGAGTAGCAATCATTGTAGCCATCTGTGTGAAAGGCACTCACACTCTTAGAGCAAATTCAAAGTAGAAAAACAACAACACTGTCTAAGCTTTGGACTCATGCCCAGGGTACTTTTCTTCTAAATATGGAAATAGGTATCTAAGTCCCTGGTGCATTTGTACCTGCTGTCCAGGTTGCCTCTGTGATTCTGCCTCCCCACAACATGTCTGCTTCTTATCCCCAGGCAGACTGCTCTCTCCATCTATGCCGACGGCATCAATTCAATTCCATTCAATTATGCAGGGATCCCGAAAGTGGACATAATTCAAACCAGAGACAGTGAACTACTTAACATTTTACATTTTTTCCAGTTCCTAATGGCCTAACAACTATAGCACAGTAAAGATTTTTTAGAGCTGGCTCATTTTGAAAGCTAAACAGAGACAACAGCTGCTAGTTTATTTAGGTCTCTTAATTATTTAATAACAAAATTCCCTTGGAGAGTTTGACAGGAGAAAGAGTTTAGCCTCCTCATAGGCAATCAGGATAAGGTTCCATTGCAAGGAGACAGTTTCCCTGTTCACAGTAACCACGTGGGAAGGCCTAGCCCTAGATGGTCTTGGTTTCCACGGTGAGACCACATTGACACTTGAGTCATTGCAGTGTAGTCTCTGATGGCAAGATGAGGGGTCCCCCCCTCTCCATAAGGGGTCTCCCCTCTCTCCTGACAGGCTGTAGCTGGCTAGTGACCAGTGGAAATGACCCTGGAGCACCTTTGGGAATGCTTTCCCAGGAGAAAGACTGGACTTATTGCCAATGGGGCCAAATGAGGATGGAGCGGTTTTAATTTGATAATTAAAACGTGGTGACCTATTTTGTATCAATAACTAATGAAAAAGGGAATATGAGACATACAGATAAAACTTCTGTATTTTACTTCCTCATAAACCATAAAAATACTATGACTGTAATTGGTCAAAATGGTGATATATTCTACTTGTACGTATGAACTAATAATAGTTTATTTGCTATATCTTCTTTTACCTTGAAAGGAGTGATGATAATTTGATAAACTTGTGTTTACACAAGACTGTTTACAAACATTTCTAATTATAAAATACATGGGGCAACAGTACAAATACCTTCCAGATAAGAGAATGTTTGAGGGTGGCTCTCACACTGTGGAACATATTCAATTCAGAGGATTTATGCGAAAGAGTTTTAAGAAAACTGCCACCATTTGATGGAATGACTGGGATGACTTAACCTAGCTTTATGAAGATCTGTCCTGGTAGAGCTTGCCATGACTGTTCATTAACTTCAGTGATAGCAGGCAGGTCACAAAGACAGGGCTTGGGCCAGGGATGGCACAGGAACGTGAGGGAAGTAGTGTCAGGGGAACAGGAACAGGAAAAAGAGATGATCAACTCCCTTTCTTGTGGTAGATCTTTGTTTTCAGATTAAAACTTTGTTTTCTTTACTACTATCGACTCAACAACTCTACTATATTTACGCTTCTCAATGTGGCTTGAAATTCTTATACAGGTTCCAGGTTTACTGAGAGAAGCACCCTGAGGTACTCACCCTTTGTGTTACTTCTTAATAATAACAGATTTTTTTTTAAAGTCCATCTACCTGTAACATATGGTTTCTGTTGGCGCGTGGGCGGTGGGTTTCCATAGACCTTTAAATGGGAAAGAAAAGCATAACCACTTACTTTTGGACTCAAAAAATAGAGCACAAATGGAAAAAATTCATTTATTTATAAAAGAAAAAATGAGTCACTTGAACAACACAATTTATTATGACCAAATACATATGGGGCACTATACGAGACACTTACATAATATATAAAGTTGTTTTTTGACTTCTAGAAGAGACCAATTGACTCTTTATATTACCATCTTAGATGTGTTCATCTATTTGTGTTTAAGTTTCTACTAACACATACTTGAAAGTCTCTGTAATTTGTATGGGTTAGTTGTTCCTGGGTTACTCAAATAACTGTGCACTTAATCGAACCTCTGTCTTAATGGATGTACACAGAAAAATGTTGTTTGCTTGGAAAGACCTTACATTTGGGCATTGATGTCCCACATCAGTCAATGGATTTTAGGGGACCCCACAATCACTGGTTTGCAAAATTGATCATAAACATCAGTTCTACTAAAAAGAGAAGGAATCTGCCTTCCTGATGTGTTCCACCTGCTCCTCACCCAGCACATCCGTGGAGAACCGATGGGTACATCTGCTGCTCTTCTATAGGTGGAGAAATTATCTTTCACTCTGACATTTGTCCTTAGGATGTTTGAGTAACGCCTAAACACAGTCAGTTCTGTCATGTGTTCTCATGACTCATGCTGCCTAAAAACCATTTCAGGTCAATCTTAGTGAAGAAAATTTGCCAGGAGATTGGGAATGTCCTCCAAATTCTTAAGCAAACTTTGTGTTGAAAACAAATTGCTGAAAGAAATATAACCACATGCCTTTAAAATGAGACCTCTGGAATTGAAGGACATAAGGTGACTGTCAAGCATTCATGACACCCCCTCCCCTACTTAATAAAGGCACCTATATTTCACCAGAAATAAAATTTTATTAATAACATGTCAAATATGTTTTAAAATACAGTTACCTTTTTTCTTCCTCTCAGTTTAAAAAACAATCCAATAAAAACTCTAAATCATGACCCAAATATTTTTAAATGTGAAAAAGACATATTTTAGATTATGTAACAGATACACATTTTCCCAAATAAATGTTGTAGAACACCATCTGCTTGGTATTTGGGTGCATTCCCACAGAATTAAATTTCTGCTGTTCTCCCTTCATTAATGAGTTATAACAAATTTATGACACTATATTTCACAATAGCTACACCAACAATTTATGACCACAGAAGAGCCTGACAAAAATCACTTGGCATGCTCAAGTTAAACAATGCACGTGACTCTCTCACTTACAGCGGTCCTCCACCCCTTACTCAGACGCTGACAACTAAAGAGAAACAGGAAGTCCACATCCAGGGGAGGATCTCTCATGGAATGGAGCTCAAGAAAGAGTTCAAAACAAGAAGTTGAAGATCCAAGTGCCATTTTTCAGCTCAGGTTTACCAAATTCTTCAGTCCATGCAGCCATCCATAAGTCTGAATTTAACATGGAATGTTTTTATAAGATTTTCTCAACCTCAGCCAAACAAGAAATTGCCAAATTCTTGTTAAGTGGGAACAAAATTTTGTCTTTGCTCTAATGATACCAAGCACAGCTCCCCCATCTGGGTATAATCAAGGGGAAAAAATCAAAAAGAGAAGTTTACCATTTGTCACTTTCTGACTGATAAGAATGGTACATGACTACATCCATGTTCCTTTTGTTCACTTGATGTAGGTAAAATTTATAAGAGAAATCATTTTCTATGTATTTTATTATACAAAATACTGTAATATTTGTGGCCAATTTGGAAAACTAGTTTATGATATTTACTTTTTGCCTTTTGTTTCTTTAAAGAGCAAAATTCCTATGGAAAACAGACATGAACACTCATTCTTTGAAAGTAGTACGACTATAGGCTTGAGTCTATATTTTCATTGTCAAAGGGATATAGAGCCTCACTACTCAAAGTGTGGTCAGCGGACCAGCAGCGCCCACATCACCTAGGAGACTTGAGAAATGCAGACCGAGGGCTCCAGCACAGACCTACTGAAAGGAATCTGTATTTTAACAAGATCTCCAGGGATTTATATGCACTAGAAGATTTGAGAAGTGCTAATGTAGAGGGAGGTTCTTTATCCACCCAACTAGAGAGTAATCCTTGGGGACAGACAGAATGATTTTAATGCAAAAATTGTGTCCAAAATGTTCCAACCTTAAATGTAACAACTTTTAGACATGGTCCACTTCATAAAGAAACAAAAAACCTGAAATATGTCACATTTCTGATGTATAGTAAGGAAGTTTGAGAATGGGAAAATGTAAGTTAAAATGTCATATATTACATAAATATTCATGAACTACTTGAATTAATTACACACAATCTTCCATTGTTTCCAACCTAAGGTATTTTCTTCAGCAAAACATACACAACGGATAACTATTACATTGAAATCTAGAAGTATGAAGATTACCTTAGTAGACAATTATTTGATGTCTAAGTACAGTAGTTTTAAAAAGAATCATATCAAGAAACTGTGATGCATTCTAGTTTGATACAATCTGGAAACTCTTTCCCAGAGGAGTTCCACCAGTACTGCAATTTGTTGCTTTCTTCCCAGCATTTTTGAGCAAATAAGTATCAATGGTGGGGGAAAGCAGAGAGAATAAAGAATGAGAACCATAACCTCCTCTTACAGTGGACTGCAAAGACTGGGGATTGGGATGTGGTTCAGAGAGGAAGCCAGTGGGACAGAAGGAGGACGGCTCCAGTAGCTGGTGTTAAGAAATCCCAAGGTTTATTTAAGCAATTCACCAGCACAAGGCAAATTACAGAAAGCTGCCCTTCTAACCTTGAACACACTATATACAAATCTCAGGCTGCGATTTCCCGATTCTGTTTCTCCTTCAAGCTTCTCCTTGACATTAATGTTAACCTGATTTCCCCTGTAAAAGGACCTGAAAGCTAGAGAGTTCGGAGAGAAGGAAGTGTTCTGTACTTGCGCTTGTCTCCCTACCTCCCCTACAACCTCTTGTGCCCCAGGGATGAGCTAAGGCCAGCCACACTTCCCCTCTGCAACAGTGGCTTTCTATTAAGCTTCCAAGTATAAATAGGCTGCAAAGCAGAATGCACACTCCTTCCACTCTAAGATCTGGGTCCACAGACCTTCCTTTCTCCCTGTGCATCTTTTTAGTTGCAAACGCCTTTGGAGACACACGTTTGATAACCAGCCCATAGTTTGGAAAAGAGAAATGCTGGCTCTGCCCCCAATAAAGAGCTGTTACCTTTTAAAACAAAACCAAATATCTCTGGGTTCCTCCCTCATCAGTGAACTGCTTGAGCAAAGGGGGACTGGGCATCATTCACCTCTGTGCCTCCTACGGCAGCACGGTGCTTGGCTCATAGTAGTTGCTCAATAAACGGTGGAGAATCACACTTACTTCCAAGTGCCCTAGCATTGTGTTTATTAAATCTCGGAATGGGCGCTGAAATCTGATCACATATTTGAGCTTATCCATGTAAACACAGGCTCACCATTTAGTCTTTCCTCCAACTTAATTTCTACTTTTCCTTTCTCATTTATCAAGAGAGCTTAATTTCAGGGATATTTCACAGTCATACCACATCTCAAATAATACATATGCTGAATGAAATCTAGTCATATGCATCATTGGTGAATGAAAGAAAACATCAACACATTGTGGATATCAGGGTGTTGGGTGCACAGCAGACAAAGAAAATCAAAATTGAGTATCCCAAGCAATCAACCCCCCAAGTGAAACAGCTTTCTCTTTCTCTTACTAGTCCTGTTCCTTACTGCTCTGCCTGCTTTTTTTCCTTCCTCATCTCTTTATTATTCCTCTTCTATTTTATTTTCTTCTTCGTTACCAGGCCTTAGGCTGTTTGAGCACCCGCAAGAGTGATCAACATTCCCAAAAGCACTCAGATTTCCCATCCTATCCTTCTTACTCCAAGGATGCTTCTTTCACCAGACAAAAGATGCCCAGTTTCAAAACACTTATAACTGGTCTCCTCCCTTTGCCTGTCCCATAATAGAGCATGTGGGATGGTGTCAGCAGAGCAGGTCTATACAGGGTGTCCCAGTATATGAATTTGCCATGGTAAAATGACAGCAATCTTATCGCTTAACTCAGAAACATTTACGTAGCTTAAATAGACATTATTATTTTTTAAAAAGTCAAAATAACATTAGTCAACTACTTATCTATGAATTGTTTATTGGTAAAGAAATTAAATGCTCTAAAAGATATTTTTTAAATAATTTGTTTTGAAATCAACACATATTTTTTTTAAAAAAGCATATTCAAAAGTACCGCTGGTTTCTAAGACAGTTGCTTCTCTACATATGAATGTATAGATCAGAGAGCTCAATTAACCACGTCACCAAATAAAACAGACTTTACATCTGTCACTGGTTCATTGCCCAAGAGTTCTTGCTTTAAGATTTCTGACGTACAAGAAATATTACAATTTTACACTTTCCTGGTAATTTTTTTCTCTCCCTCTTTTTTCTATTCCAAAGTATGTGCATTTCTATCCTCAAATAATTTCAATATGTGGCATTTTTGTAAGTCATGACAACTGGCACTGGTGTGCTTTTCTTATAGACACTATCCTAAACCAAACCAGATGTTCCTTTCAGAAAAAAATGTAAAACTATTAGAGAGATCATTCTGTTTTTTAAATTATATGATAGTATAATTATCTTATCAGATCTGGAGCTTATTCAATTAGCAACCCCATTGTTTAAGAAATCTATATTTTTAAAAAAGCGTTCTGAGAAATAAGGTATTTTATAAATAGTGAAACAAAGTTTTGAACTTTGGTGCCAAATTTTGCCCTTAAATTAATTTTTCGGTATTCATATTTGTATTTAAAATATATCCCACAATTCATACTAAATTGCTTTTAAAAACTAGCCTCAATTATAATTTTTCAGTTGGCCGTAAAGCGTTTTTTCCTAATTCTAATTGAGCGATTCAATATAAACCTGCTACTTTGATCAGTTATATATCTATGCGGCCTCCAACAACACCTGCTAATTCGGGCACCAATATCCTTTATACCAGAAGCATCCATGTAATCACCCCAATGCTTCATCAGAGAGAGCAAGTAGTGAATCAAAACAAAAAACAGAACTCGCTTGAAGAGAAAAAGGTTTCTTGGTTACAAGATGGTGTTCGACTAGGGAAGATACAACATTGACAAGTCACCACATTCAAATTTGTGAAAACATATGATCACTGAAGGCCTATGACATCTTCATTTAAAGCAGTGTCCGTGATTATCACTACTATGCACAAAGCGCTCTGAAAGCACATTAGTAAGCAAATGGTTCCAAAACCCTTTAACAATGTTCTTCTGTGTCCTGCGCAATCCTTATTTTAGATTCTTCTCTTCATTACCATGGTCTCTCTAACACTTATCTTTGGGTCTTTGGTATTTTCTTTGGCACCTAGTTTTCCCAATCTGTTTCATCAGTTAATGACAACTCTTTAAATGATACGCTCCATCGGACATCACTCTGCACATCGAAATCAGACATCTCATTCAAACCTCAAAGGACATCACAAAGCACTTCAAACAATTCCAGGAATCTATCCAACTTGTTAAATCATCATCTTTCAAATTGCAAAATATATGGACTTATCTAAGCTTCACCACCAAAGGCATTCTGAAACATTTTGTCAAATAGTGAATGGTCGACTATTATACAAAAATCAGTGCAAAGTTTCATCCAGGCAGCCTTAAATGCACTCTTTGATGAAGAAATAACATCACGTAGAATTTCTGTTGTTCTCATCAATTTCTGCAGATAAGATTTTTTTTAACTATCAACCTATTAAAAACAAATTTTGCCTGCCTACCCTTTTCCTGAGCTTCACAGCCTATAACAATGACATCATAAATAAAGTTCAAACTCTTAACTAACGGCCCACCACAAATTGTAACCGACCCCTAGAACTTAAGAGATAAGCCCAGCCATGAGGCTATTCTATTAAATTTCACTTGTAAAGAGAAAAGTCTATCAAGCCAAAAAAAAAAAAAAAAAAAGTAAAATGGATCAGTTTGGAGTTATCTGGTTGTTACATTCAGCAGCTCCGCTGCAATAGCTTTGCCCCATCTTGAACTGTTGCTAACAGTAAAAGGAGAACGGCATCAAACAATTATTTGGCACAGTGCTTGACAAGCCAAAGCATTTCAGCAAGAACCTTCCCTTCTCGTCATTTACAGAAAATTAAATTCGTTCCACCCTCAACCTTCAGGGACATGACATTTTGAGCTTAATCTGTTACTTTCTACTAAGAGTGGCAGAATCTGAGAATAAGGGGCTTGAAATGTTTAAATCTGTATAAGAACTTGCTATTGGTCCCTTCCTACATAGCTTATCTTAAAAAAAAAAAAAAGGTTTTGCTTCTAAAGTACTTATTCGCTGCCTTATACTGTGTGGACATATTTTCAGTTTGACTTGCTGATACAAGGACTGCTGAGTAACAACCAGGGCTCTCTCCAGTCAGTTCCGCATGCATCTCATCTTTGATCTCAAGCACACTGGGAATTAGTGCCTTATTTTAACATCTTCACTATGAACAGTTCAGGCATTTAGAAACAAAGTATCAATGGACTTAACAGTTACTTTAATTCATTTTATAAATAAGCAACTGAGAATTTTGCTCCAAATGGCTGCGAGTGTAGCCCATTCCGTAAATGGCATTCTCCGAAGCATAAGGCACAATACGATATGAATGCAGCTCTTCGTAATAGAGAGACTGAGAGCAGCATTCCTGTACCATAACCTTCAGCCGTTTTCTTGTATCAGAATAAGCAGTCTTATAACAGGGAGCTTCCTTAAAGTATTCATAGCTCTCTTTCTCCGTCTCTAGATGGATCTTCCGCAGCAAATTGTTAATTAACACAGACCTTCTTAAGTAGGTTTCTGGGTCTTCAAGAAACCTGAGCTTCTCCAGAGAAAGTTTGAGAATGCAAGTCCTGTCCTCAGGCAATATCAGGTGCTGGAAAGCAAAAACATCATTAAATCTATGTTTTGGAAAAACGGAAACCAGAGCTTTTTGCTATTGACAAGACTCATAAAAATGAAAAAATAATAACAAATGAATCCTTACTTTTGGAAAATACCCATGGTAATCTTGATGTAAATCTTCTTCTTCTGCATATTTTCTCTTAAAGTAGGCTACTTTCGACGTTGTTAATGTATATGTTAATACTTTTGTTGGATAAGCTAAACAAAATAAAATAATTGGAGAAAAGTCAGATTTTATTGTGCAAATAGTATTTTATAATATAAATTCTACTTGTAAAAAGAAACTGGTGACCCCAGAAATTCATATTCTCTCTTCATTCACTAGCAGCATGGCGAAGCAGTCAGTGGCAGCTGTCCTATGCCTGAAAAGCTTGTTTGCAGGCCAATGCCACTATTCAGACCCAAATAGCTGTTCTAGATTGGAGAATTCTATTTATTTTCTTATGCAGCCCCTCAGAAATAAAATACTTACCAATCTTCTGTTTAATTTCACCCCATTTAAGGTCAAAACATATCCAAATTTGTAGTTAATTCATAAAAGGTAATGGAAAGAGATGCTATTTTTCATCATATTTTTAGTTACACTCCCTAATTTACAGAGGAAATTTAATCTCTCTGGGTTAATCAAATTGGTATAAAATGGTTCTTGACCCAATTACACTTTAAAGAAATAATTGTGCGTGCTTATAGACAAGCTCTATGATACGCTCGCAGTATAACCATCCTCATAACACATGGCTTAACAGAGGTTAATCATAAGTAAATGAAAGGCTTAAATAACATTCTGACTAGAAAACTTGACCTCAGTACAATATCTGAAAGTGGAAGTCTTTATTCTCTCCTTTAAAATACTATCGTTATGGAGGATTCTGACGTTTAAGAAAGGACAGTTTTCTGAAAGCTGATTTTCAGAAAAGAAACGGTTTCGTTTAAGGGGACTTCCGACTGTGTCCTCTAGGTGGTGCTCATGTCACAGAAAAGAGGCAAGTTCAACCTTAAAAGAAAAAGACAAGCAGCTTCCTAGCGAAGGTGTTGAATGAATTCAGAGTACAAATTCAGTCCTGTTCAGGACTCGCTCAACCTCAGGGGCCAGACCAGAACGAAAGTTCTCATTTAAACATCTTCTATTTCACCTTTAATCCACACCTTCAAATATTTCTAGCTGGTTGAAACCATCTGATTCACAAAAGGAGCAGTCTATTAAAGTGTTGGTTAAATACATTCATGGTTAAGACACTTGATGTTTTTCCTCCAATGTCTTAAATTTTTAAAATCTTAAATATTAAGAGTGTGCTCCTCAAGAATCTTCCTCTTCTGGTTTTTCCTCCAAATCTGTGACATCTGAATAACACTTCCTGTGGCTTTTTGTAGCTGGACGGTTTTCCTAAACCAGTAGGAGAAGCTACAAAAATCACACCTAAAGCATTCCAAATTTTCACTGGTACCACTGTGGGTTATAAACCCAAGAGAGCCTTAAATTAGAGTTGGCATGTTTTGTAAGGGAAATAAGAATTTTAAACCACTGGCGTGCCTGACCTAAAAAGAAACAAATGTGTAACAATCATTCACAATTGAAGCAACGATAATAGTAGCTACTATAAGTATACAATCTCTGAATTCAATAAGCAAAACTCAGCTTATATGGAGTTTTCACAGGTCTCAAAGGTTAGGAAAAAAGAACAAAATTGACCATATTGAAAACAAAGGAAACATCCCTGAACCTCCTGTTCTCAGGGCCTGTTTTTTGTAAACTGCATTTTCTTAGGTGTATTTTTAAAGGATTTAATCAAATAATTAGGTGAAGTTTTGGCTTATCCTGTGATCACAATTATTGTGACTGAATTCTTTCTAAGCTGTTTAACTTGTTGATGTCACAGTGGTTCTCAAATGGTAGCGAGCATCAGAACCGTCCAGAGAGCTCCTCAAAACACAACTTGCTGGGTCCCATCCCCAGAGTTTCAGTTCAGTAGGTCTGGGCCAGGAGCAGAGAATTTACAGTTCTAACACATTTCCCGGGGGTGCTGATGCTGCAGGCCTGGGGACCACATCTTGAGAGCCCCCATGTTACAGCATTAGGCAGCTGTGGAAGCAGAACTAAAACAGCCAGTTGAAAAACAGTACATTCAGCCAATCAACTGATTGACTTCTCCTCAGAATGCCAAGCAATTGGCTTGATTGATTTGTGTTATTGTTATTATTGCCATTGCTACATTGGCTACACTGGCTTAGACGCTTTAGCATCAGGCACAAAGGCAGCCGGCATTTTTAACTAGTGTAGAAAGAATGAGGTCACTTTTCAACGTAAATTCCTGGGTTCAATTAAGAAGTATCAATGGCTGTTATTAGCATTAAAGCTGGACAGGTCACTGATTTTTTTTTTAATAAGGCCCAGTGAATTACTACAGTGTAACAAACGGTGAGCAGACTTGGAAATGAGAAAAGTGACTTTACCATAAGAAAACACTGTTTTCACATATATGTATCTTTTTTAAATGTCTGCTCATTTTATTTTCCAAGGTAATGTGATGTCTACAGCATTTATGACCAATTAAAAACCTTTTAATGAATGATACATGAGGGGGCAGGTGGCAGCTTGGAGAACCAAATGTCAAATAAGCCAAGTGATGAGCAGGAGAAGATATTTTTATTTAACAGATCAGGACCAAAAAATTATACTAAATGTCTCCATGGTTTGTAAAGATTCTATTTGGCTATATTCAAGCAGTTAGCCTAAAATATAGATCTTATCAGACCCTGAAAATACAGTAAATTCTCAGGGGTCTTGATTTGTGTCTCAGCTCTGTGGGCAACACACTTAGCCACTTAGTTTATTGCTCTTAAAAAACACCCCCATGGCTTGTTGAGATGCTGAAAAGCTTTCACAGCTGGTATTGGTTTGGCAATTACCTCCTTGCAGCCTGTTTAGCTATTTGCAATGTTTTCAGCATCAAATTTTGGAGGATGCTTTTAGCCACTTTGAGGCTAAAATATATAGCAAACATAAGTTCCTACATCTGTTTTCTTGGCTGGATTAGAACTGAAAAAATTCAGAACTGGGACCTATTTATTGATCGCTTGGTTCAGCCTCCGAAGCTTACAGACAAGGAAACTGCAGCTCAGAGGAGGTCAATGGTTTACAATCTGGAGGGCGGCTAAGAGTTCGGGTTTCAAAGTCAGATGGAAGTGGGTGCCACTTCTTAGTCACGTGACCTTGAGAAAATTACATAAACTCTACAAATCTCATTTGTAAAGTGGGGATAGAAATAATACTGGCTCATGGGATCATTGAGACTGGCACTGTGCCTACCAGACAGTAAGCACTCAACCAAATCCCAGCCCTTATTAGCACCAAAGGCCCAGATCTACCCCACAGAAGCAAATCCCAGCCTGGCCTCCTAGCTCACTCCCTAAGACCCTTGCCACCAACCTGCCTCCCAGAGGTACCAGATTGGGATTAGAGAGTTAAAAGACCGCAAAAGAATGTTTCGAATGGTTGATTGAAAATATAGTACAGGTACTATAACAGCTCAAAATATTTCTGGGTTTAGTGCCACTTACACATTTTGGGTGAAGGAAACGTAAATTGTTTTTGAAACATCAGATAGTCATTTTGGAAATTAAAATTACCCTGACTATCCAAAGAAGTTTGCCTGTTATGATCCAGTAAACATGCATAAATCTGTTTATATCATTTTCCCATGACTAAAAAGCTAAGCTCAACCCAGCCTGTTATTCCAGTAAAGCTGATGAAACAGACCAGAAAAAGTAAAATGACTTTATGTCTTTGTATTCCGTGTCCTGAACTCTGAGAGCAGCATATAAATTATAAAACTGAATTAGACTGAGCCTAAATTTATCTCTGAAGGTAAAATGGCTAATGCTGGCTTGAATATTCAAATTGTTTTTAATGCTGTAACCTCTGGGCACATAAAATATCTGTGGCAGGCTCAATGTATTTCACAGTGTAAAACTTCAACAAGCAACAAATTAAAAGTCACAGCACAGAATGACCAGCCTGTCGTTAGAGTTCTGGCAGTACAATTTATACATATTTCTTTAAATAAATGTTGTAAATGTAATTACAAATGATTGCTCAAACGCTCTTCCTCACTGTTCTGCTTCTGCCTGTAGACAACTGAAATCCTATTATTGTACAAGTGATTTCATTTGGCACATGACCCAGGGGCAGTACATTAAGGAAAGATCATCAACAAATTAATTTACAAACACTTTGAGAGGACAGAAAATAATAAGAGAACAACCCCTGTTGCAGTAATTCATTCTTTGTCCCAGACCATGAATAGCTTAAGAGATGGTTAAGAAGTCATGAGTTAAACGTATTTTAATCTTAGCAAGGTTTTCATTTGCTTCCCCACAACACTTTAATCAATATACTGCAAAAACAGAGCTGAGACCATCCTATAAGATGTGTGCATCTGTAGCCACAGACAGAAGCAGAGTTTGATCAATGGGGAGAATAAGGCGGATTCTAGTCTCAAATCAACAACTGACTTGGGTTGTAGACAAATCACGGGCCTCGGCTTCCAGTCTCTCGCTGATTTCCCTTTGTGTGGGGTTAGCCTGGCATGAGAACTTAAAAAGTATGTGTCCCTTCCTATCTAAATAACGCTTTGCTGGTGGCAAAGCAACCAGACATCCTTCTTGAAGGGCCATGGCCACTTCTGTGTAGAAAGAGCTGTCCCCTCTGTCACGGTTAGCCTCATTCTGCAATCTTGCTACATGACTTAAAATACTTCAGTATGACTTTCCAGCGCTGCCCCACAGCACTGGTTCAAGGCCCAGCTCTACAATTTATTTATTTAGTGACTTTGGGCAAAGTATTTAACCTCAAAAAGCCTGAGTTTCCTCATCAATTAAATGGGAGAACGATATCAAAGTCATTGATTTGTATGCAAATAAAAGGAGATGATGTTTAAAAAGCACTTACTCAGTGCCTGTCACACATCCAAGTATTTTGTGCTCAACATATGCTAGATACTATTATTACAGTGACCTCATTTTTGAAATCATACATATAATCCTATTAAGCAGTACCATGATGTATGTAGGACATTTGTCCTCTCTTTAATGTTAAGCACAGGTTGCAAGAAACATTCATGAGTGTATTAAGAAGGCAGACAGTGCAACATTCAAGGCTGTAATGTTCCTCCTTGTGTGGACCTTTAGCTTTGGTGATGTTTAGCAATATTCCGTCATTCCTCTCCCTCCTAACCCCTTGCCTAGCGCCTTTCTGCATAATATGCTCTATGGGAGCAGAACTCAGCGCCAGTGTTGGTCTGAGTCAATGGAGCAATGTGTTTCTTCAGATCTGTCGTCCATCCCAAGCACAAGATGGACTCTCCTGGCAGTTTAGAATTACCAACAAATTGCAGCTCCTGGAAAACCTTCTTAGGAACTTCGAGGGATACTGACAGCCAGTGAGATAGAAAGGTTTCTCAAGAGACCAGCAGCATTGTCGGGCACTGGATTCCATGTTCCTTGAGATAGCCCCAAGCACAGGCATGGAATATTAAATAAACCTATCTTGTCCCACTGGTGATGGCTCTGAACAAAGAGAACATCATTAAATGGGATATGACCAGCCATGCAATCATCAATTACCTTAGATGCTGTCTGGTTCTATTAATAATTGAGACCAAGGGCAGTAGGTTTTCTGGGTAAACTTTGTGATTTACTGCCCCTCAGAAGTGCATTCCTTGTTTTGAAGGATGGTGTTCCCTTCCACTCCACCTTTCACCTTGGAAAGTGGGAATGAATGAGAAGGAAAATCAGCAAAGAAATCACATTGCTGGATATAGGTTCCAAGGAATATCTTACCAATAATGTCTAGGGAGACGCTATAACTTCCTTAGATGCCCAGGTACGTTGCTCAGAGACGAGGGTTCTTTAATCCCTAATGTGTGCATGGCAGTGGTCTTCTGAAAAGTACCTGAGCTATATCACCCTCATTGCCTTCCACTTTGATACTATCATCAGGTTTGGATAGATTGCCAAAAACGTTTAGCCAAGTAACCCGCAAGGGTTGTAGAAAAACATAAGATGGGACTAATCCTTAACTGTACTCACTAGGCATATACAAGAATTTGCTCTGGAGCTGGGTGATTTTCTGCCCTCACTCACATGGTGCCTGATTTGTGTCACTACCTGGAGTTGCTCTAGTGGTGAACTGTTCCTCATTCACAGGGTATGTTTCTTCTAAAGAGTTATAGGTGCTTCATTAAATTGCACTGTGTTCTACTCACGCACTCCCCTTCAGCTAACCAGTGGTCTTATCCCCCACATCAGCTACGGAGCAACTGAACCAGAAAGCAGGAAAACAAGTAGCAGATGGGACAGGATTGAGACTCGAGGCTCTCGAGTGCTGATTCTCTTTGCAATATTCCCAACTTCCCTTGATGTTTCTAACCCATGCTTCCTTTTAATAAGCATTTCAAAAATAACACATCCTCTGACATACCACTGCAGAGGGAATTTCCCAGCTTCAAACCTGCCCCTCCTCCCCTTCTAAGCATCACTGATATTTAGAAGACTTGTATCTCTACCTGCCAAGAAGACTCTTTGTTGCACTTTACTTTCTATAATTTATAATATGAAAACAACAAAGGTTTTTTATTTTCTAAATATAAAGCTATATTACAGTATTGAACATAAACACTAGTAAACCCTTAGTGCTTTTCATTAATATCCACCTACCACCTCCACTGAGAATTACTGTAGCAAACTAGATGGCTCTGTTGTTAGCCTGTTTGTATAAATTTAATCATGAAAAAAAAATAATTGTGTTAGGCTAAAAAGCAGAAATGTTTAAGTAATATATTGACACTATTCAGACAGACAACTTGTTAAAACTAAGTGAGGAGGGGTAGTGACAAGGATTGACCCCTCCCAGAACCTCGAGCTGTACTCCTTCCTCAGTTTTCGTGCTGAATGATTATGGTCAATTTACTCCTCTGCTTCTAAAACTGTTATTTTATTTTAGCTTTTTCTGGGTTTCCGAAGCATACTGCTTTGACAAACAGAGCAATCTGAAGTGGTTATGCCTCGGCCTTAGAGCCATTGTTGCGATGTCAGTATTTTGACAACTAAAGCCAGCCAGCAGGAGTCCTCAGTGGAGAGCCCAGAGGTGGAGCAAGGGACTCAGCATCCTGACCAAACCTCTCAACATTTCTGTGTTTCAAAGCATCTTCTAAACCCCATCCAAGTAATATGACATAAAATTGAACATGGAATGTTCATAAGCACCTAAAAACTTCCTAATGGAGCATATTAGGAAAAACTAAAACTAGAACTCGGTTTCAGTTTGAACCTGCTTTATCTCAGTCTTATCCAAGCTTCCTAGCAATAAGCATACTCCTCTTTATAACCCACGATATGTACAAGCAGAGCTGGTGTTTACATTGACGAGAGTGACTAGATCCTTAGTTACAAATTGGTGGAATATTTTTTCCACACTCTAATCCACCAATATCTCTATGATTAAATGCTTATAATGACACCGTTTGATTTATTTTTCATTTATGTAAAGCTAAATACCACATAACATTTTCTGCAGAATTACTTTAAACAGATCTGTTCATCAAAATTGCACAGTCTATATTCTCACATTATACATTCATGATAGAATTAAAATTAAAATTAAAGAACCGCTTTCTCTTGACCTTTTTGATTGTGACAGTAGTCTCAATGAAAGGGCAGACTCATTCACATAAATTAAAGGGCACCGAATAATTTTAAACTTCTATGCATATTACATAAGAGACAGCATGTGTATAAATTACTAATGCACAAGACTAATGCATATACATTAACCAACACTTGTGGCCGCTTTACTCAAACTTTCCTCAGATTAATAGCATGACTAGAACTCTATATACATGAGATGACAGTAAATCTTATTGGTCTCCCTGGACTTGTTACTCACCATAAAATATAGTAATTATGATGGAGGAAGGAAAAAGGGTGGACGGCGCTAGAGGCTAATGAAACCAACATTTTCAGCGGTCCAAACAGTCATCTTTAGGGCTTAAAATTGTTAAACTACAGATATTTCAATAAGTGACTATAGAGACCAGTACTCTTAAAGTTTCATAGTATTCATAAAAAGTATACAATAATACCAGAATAAATTTTCAGATAGGTTTCTGAATAAAATTGTTCAACTGTTTTACAAAGGGAGGTAAGGAAAGGGAAGAAATGCAGCATGGTAAATTTTCATGAATTTGATTCTAATTTGCTAGGCTGGTGACCTACAGGAACCACACATGGAAAGCTCAGTACATGTGAAAGTTACACAAGGCTGGAGGGCTGAACATTCATTGAAAGACTGTATTCCGTCTTGAAAATTGAGTTTAAAATGCTTAACACTCATGGGTTTTTATCACCATGACTTTAATGTAAATTAAATTTAAAATGTCACCACAATGTCTATCTGCAACTTGGGGAATTCTCTTCATTTCTTTCATTCAAACATGTACCAATTTACTCCTAGGGCTTCTGCTTGACACGGCCCCTGAGCCAGGCTGCCTAATTTGACCCACCTTATTCACATGAGTCCTGGAGGGGAAATGTGCCAGCTCACAAATGTCCTTTCTACAGAAAACCTCTATTGACTTCTCCCCAGCAACCGTCTATAAAACAAGCCCTTCTATTGATCTTGTAAGTTATGGTAATGCTACATTAGCATTTATTTCTCGGGATACATATCGAAACTGTAATTTCTCTTAAGCTAATGATTACCTGGTAATGCTGAATCAATCTGAAAAGTGTATTTCTAGGACAGCTTCAGAAAATCTGGTGAGAGTTCCCTTTTGCACAGCGAGCATTTCTCACAGCCTCAGGCTCATGAATGGTTACCTGAGATTTTGAAACAAGGAGACAGATACAAATAACAGCGCAAGAGTCAGGACTGCCCCGACTTGAACTGACGATCAGGGCAGGAGAAGGCACGCGGTGGGAGGACACTGTGTGAGATGTTTGAGGTGGGGCTGAGCTGGACCAGATAAACAGATAAGCCTGCGAACACACAGTTCACTCGATGTTCTCCAGATTTCGTTTTAAACACGAGGAATCTTAACTATCCTAAGAAATTTGTAAACAGCTGAATAACTGATCTCACCAGTTATTTACTAGGAGATTATTTTTGAGAGATTATCAGTAGGTTGATTTAAAAAAAAAATCAGGGTCAGATATCCTTAATTTGTTTTTGAATGCCAGATTTGGTATAATTTCAGGAAATAGTCTCTCTAAAGTAACAATCCAGCAGTTAACTCAAAACAGACTAACTCAATCATTCTCTGGAATACACATGATTTCTCACAAGATTTGAAATAGACAAACAGTACTTTTCCTTTGAAGACAGTTTTTCTTTAAAGGGCCATGTTTAACTGCACCTTTTCTACATGGATGTATGCTTACAGATCTCATCATCTTCTATATTTAGAGGGATGAGCTTTCCAAAGGAAGATAGGCAGCCAATGAGGAGGATCCCATCAAAAGAGAGGTGAGTTACTATGGTTACTTTTCAGGAGATTGAGTAACAGTGAACGGCTGCACCCTGCCAAATGGACCCTTTCCAGAGCAGGACCTCGAAAGAATGTTGCTCTCCATACGTGTTGATTCAATTAGTCGAGACTACACTATGTCATTTTAGCCTTAACCGCAGGCTTTCTACGGGTGCTCACCGCTTCCAGCTCTCCTAGCGCACATAAGCAGCGAAGTCAGAGGGAAAACAAGGAGGACGGAAAACTTCCCAACACAGACCTAACAACGACGGGCAGGGGAATGCTCAACGACCAATCTCAAGATTTAAAAAAAATCAAATCAAGTGATTTGGGACCACCAGCTGGCCACTTTTCAATGGCTGGGGGCGGGGTGGGATCCCAGAACACGTCCCTACCCTCACCCTCAACGAAACGGAGTCTTTTCTGAGCCGCGGAGGAAGGCACCTGGCGGGAGGAGTCCAGACGTACCTTGCGAGCTGGGTTCCCTCGGCAAGAGATCAGCGCATGCACCTGTTTCGTAAAGGCGCGGGGTTCGATGCTCCCTCCTGCTTTTGCGGCGTGTCACTCTTCAGACGGGCACTGACAGCGACGGCGACGGCGGTGGCGGCGCGGCAGCGGCAGCGGCAGCGGCAGCGGCGGCAACTGCAGCTCGGCGGGCAGCCCTGGCTCCTGCAGATCCGTCCCTCCAGTCTCTGAAGCGCCTCTCGCTCCGGGTTCGGAACGCGAGGCGGGCGCGCAGCTGCTCTCGGCTCGCATTGGACCAGAGGGAGCAGATGTTACCCGGTTGCTAGGAGCGTTGCTAGGAGGCGATGACGCCCCTCCACCGCTCCGGAGCAACTTTCCTGTAGGTTGGGTGCGCTGGCGGGGGCTGCTGGGAGCAAGGTTTGAGAGCAGAAACGAGGAGGGGCGGCGAACAAAGAACAGGGGACTCCTGTGCTCGCTTAAGTTAGGTCCCAGATAGCTGGCTGGGGACCTGGGGACTTCCGGGCCTGCTCCCGCTGGCCTGGGCAGGTGATGGGGGCCACGCCTCCCTGGGCAGCTGCGCTCATTGTGGGCCCTAGCTGGATGCCCCTGCCCCTGTGGGGGTCAAGTTTGGGCACGCGAGTGAAGCGGCACTTTCAGCGGCTGAGGGAGCAACGGGACTTGGTCTGTGCCTGATAGACACCGAGACTTCCGCTGGGATGCTCTTTGCCTTGAGCGGGACCCTGGCAATGGGGAGAGACGGAGGAGTGTGCGCGTGACCTGGGGCAAGGCATGTGGGATGAGGACTATAGGATCTTCTGCCTTCTGGGACTCTCCTCCCCAGCGTGTTCCTGTTTGTGTATGTGGGTTTGAGCAGTTGATAGATTTCGAAGAGGGAAATACTAATCCACAAAAATCAGCCCAGAATCTAGTGTTTTTATTGGCGCTGTGGCTGCCTATTGGCATGGTGCCAAAAATTTCACACAACTGTCCCTGTGGTCTAAAATACTTCCTTTATACGGTTAGAAAGTCTTCATCTTGATCCAAAGGCTAATTAAAACCTCAGGCCAATATGCAAACTTCCTTAAAAGAAAAATACACAAAAGAAAAGGTACTTTTCACAAAGGAGACTGGAGAAGATAAGCATGTTTCAGTCATTTACACTGTAGTATAAATTCACCCAAAGGCTTGTATTGTCTCTGATATCTCACTCAAGGTATATTTTCATTTTTCACCATTGCTTTTTGTTGTAGTTGTTGTTCAATGGAGTTGTTATTCGTGGGTGGGGAGGATAATGAGAGTAACAACGTGGACAAATTTGGGTAGCCAGTGAGCCAAATTAAAGACAGGAAGATCACAAACCCAGCAGAGAACTTTTGCTCAAAGCTATCCTCAGAGAGGAAATCTCATTGAAGTAGGAGATACATCACTTTCCTGGTTCCCTATAGGGTCAGGCCAGGTCAGGAAAAAAGAAAGCACCCCTGGGAATCAATTAAAAAGAAAAGTTGCTATCTTTGGAACCAGAACAGGGCTGCAGTGCAGTGTCATGTTGACTCCTGCAATGGCAGACATTCTGCAAGGCTGAAGGGGCTACAGGGAGTGGCCCTACAAATCTCAGGGGCCTTGCTCCCTCAGGTACCTAGTACCAGCTTAACACCTAGGACAAATCTTAGAGCTAACAGTTTGTTAGCCCTAAATTTTAAAAACCTGACAACTTTGTGTTTATTAACTCGATTGTGGGAATCTTTTCACTATGGATATGTGTATCAAATCATCATGTTGTACACTTTAAATATCTTATAATTTTATTTGTCAATTATCCTTCAGTAAAGCTGGAGGGAAAATCTAATTCTCTGGAAGGAGTAACAACAAGCCAAGGTGGGTTGAAGATTTGATGATAAAATTTCAGCTGTAAGGTATGAAGGGAGCTTTGAGCCTGGTACGCTTCCCATCTGGGGGAGGGCCACAGCCCGAATGACCGCTGCTACTTCTTATTCACTGTCAGGGAGGGAGCTGGTATCGCAATCAGCCTTGTCTTCTTGGCTGGCTCATCTCGGGAGACTCTCCCCTTTCTCTTCAAGTTCCAGTCACACAGGACTTTTTTCAGCTGCCTTGAATGGGGAAGGGTCTCATTTGTCTCAGGTGTTTTGTATGTGTTGTTTCTTCTTCCTTCACATGCCTCCCTTCCACCTGGTTTACTCCTACTCAGCCTTCAAGTCTCAGCTTAAATACCATTTCCTCATAGCGGCTTTACCTTACAGCCTCCCACCAGCTAGATTAGCCTCCTAATTACACTCCCAAACCAGCCTACTGATCCTGTTTCACAAGATTCATCATACTGGATTTTGAGCTAGTTCTGCCCTGTCATCACTGTGTCCCCTGTACCTAGCACACAGTGCCTGGTACATCAAAGGTAATCAAGAGCACGCGTGAATGGATGGAGCCATCCTACTTGGCTGGAGGTCGCTGTATGTAGCTATGTACATTAGCTATGTAGCTATCATTTGGTGAAGCCATGAGGGCAGCCACTAGTTGCTGTCCTTTTCATTAAGTAAAGGAAAGGGGAAAAGCCTATTGCACAGAAAATTTTCTGCCCTTAATGAGACAGTGTGTGGATACAGCAACTTCTTTTCTTTCTCAAAGCTTCTTATAAAGGTCGCTACCTGTATTTTAATGGCATTGGGAGATAACCTGAAAGTCCTTTATATATCTTCCTAATTCTCTTCTCTCTGTGTCTTCCAAAGTAAGCGTAAGTCCTCTGAGCTGAACTGTTTCATCTTTCCTTAAAATACTCCTCTACCTCGGGTGAAAAGCAGCCTCCATCAGCCCATGATGTATCTCTATGAAGCAAAAATTTAAAAAATCTGTTTAGGAAACGTCTAGCTCACCTGACCAACACGGACAGCACTTCTACTATACTTTATTGGAATAGACCAGGAAATCTTTTCTGTTGTCGATATAACTCACTAAATGATTACCAAAACCCCTCTTCATCTGGGACTGCCTCAAGAATAACATGTTAGAAGACACGAAGGAAAGGCCAAGATAATCCCAAGGTCACAGAGTTGGTCGGTGGCAGAAATAGAACGCAGGTATAAGAGTTTAATCTTTAGTATTTATGTCTGCAGATATAATTTTATAAATTCTTCAATTCTCCTGGAAAGTGATTAGAGCAAATCTTTCACTAAACAATTTTGGATTTTAAAATTAAATATTAAAATACCGTACAATCCACCTTAGAATTCATCTAAATTCTAATCTTCTCACCACTGAATCTTGCCCCTCCTTGAGACGACCACAGATGTAATGCTAATCCTGTCTCCTGTTCCTTATCTGTTTGCTGAAAAGAATGAGATGTTTTATTATGTAGTAGAATGCACATTAAAATTCATCAGGGCTCTGAAGTGTCACCCAAGCTTCCCCTTGAACCATGTCTCTGAATCTCCCTGGAGAAACCCTAGAGAAACTGGAAAGACACTATGAAATTAGTAAGACATAGAATGTGATTTTATTCATCCATAAAATGTTACTCAAGATGGTCAAGATTTTTTAAAGATTACTACAAAAGACTTTAAGAACCAGAGTCATAGATGGCTGTCTCAATTATTTTAACATTTAAGGTTGGGTAAATCTCTGCTGAAGCAATGCCAGAGAACAGCAATCATTTGTCAGGTTTTAGGTTCTGCAGATGCTTACTCTAAGATTAATATACTAAAAAATCTGTTCCCTCTGCAATATTTTGCTTTTGTTCATAATTTTACATTTGCTTTGGTGTTTTTAACATGGCATGTATGTATGTATTTACTAGTGCACATACACGTAGAAATGCTCAACCTTGCGCAGGCTATTACCTCAAAACTCTTTGTCCTGTGGCTCTGAAAATGTGAAGCCATAGGATCTTTATTTGCAACAGCCCCCTGCCCCGCCCCCAAACAGTGTTGAAATAACTAGAGTGAACAAGTAGAATCCTGAGTCAGCCCATAACGTTCTAGGGCCGCCACAGGTTAGGAAGAACTTAAGCAACAAATGGGCTTGCAGTTAGCAAGCTTTCCTTAAACAATCAGCACCATCACAGCATTTGAAGTAAGATAATTTTTTAAAAAGGGAGGAAAAAAATGTGTGTGCTAGATAGTGTCTTTAAGATTCTCAACAACCTGATTCATTTTCCTGTACACACAAACTACAATTCCCAGCCTTCTTAAATATAGGCAGAGCCATGTGACTAGTTCCGGCCAATGGAGTGTGGGCAGAAGTAGAGACTGCCGCCTGGAAGCCTGGACCCTTAAATTTCTCATGCCTTTTCTTCCTCCTCCAGTTGCAGAGCCAAATATTCCTTCAGAGGCCCTAGGAACTCTGAGATGGCCCTCAATCCCTAGGATACTCCTAAGAGAGAAAGCTGCATGGCCAAAGACATCTTAGATTACATAAAAATAATCCTTTCTTAGGGCTGTTTATTATAACAGGTAGCATCAATTACCTCAACTAACAGGATGCAAAATGGTAACAATAGATTTTCCCTGAAACATCTATAGAATTTCTTTTCTATTTTCTTGATTTATTTTGGGGACGTCAGCCATGTTTTTACTGCTACGGAGGTATCTGATCATCATAGCCCTGTTCCTTCTCCTCCTAGCTTGCTGTGTCTGAGCCTGGTACACTTCTTAGAACTGGGTATACACAGAGGGGAGAGGACTCTGCACAACAGCCTCTCTGATGAGAAATTATGTTTTTATAAATGAACACCTACGGTTTTGCCTTCTCAGAATCCTCTTCAGATGTGCTTTTGTTATTTCAGGTCATCTTTACATTTATATAGTTCCTTACTTATCCAATCTCCTTATTTTAAACTCAACACTTTAGCCATTTGAGTTGATTTGTACGTGCGTCCACTGTAAAAGCCTATGGCACCCTAAAACCAAAATAAATTATATGGATCATAAATGTAATGCTTAGAGTTCTAACATACATGTCTGCACTTGTTACAGTTTTGGAATTAATGGTTTTTGTATATACTAAAATAAGCAATATCATTCAGGCCCATAAAATTTGCATGTCGATGCTGCAAAACTATCTTTTTTTAACATAAAAAAATTTTCACGCGGATACATATAAGCCATCTGCTTAAACTTTATTGATAAAACCAGTAGCAGCAGTTTTACAAAATCGCAATGATTTTCAGTTTTGAACTAACATGAGTTCAGTTGCAGCCGACATTTTATACAAACCGGGGCTAGTGCTTCTTCTATGTTTCTGTTTTAAACAAAAAGCAATTAGAATTTATCCTCATGCATTTAAATATTTAATACAGAAATAGTTTTTAGGCTGCATAAAATATGCTTCCAACATCACTGTGAGACTGAACATCTGCCTTCAGCGTTATTTGTACGAGAAAAACAGTATAATTCTTCTAATCACAAGCTTTTTATCACAGGTAAACAATTTTCTTATTTTCTATCATTTTTTCAAAGGTGTTTTGAACACAAAAGTATCAACATTAAATATTTCACCGACTTGCCCAGTTAAAACAGTGCCGCAGTAACACAGTAAAACCATTGTTATGAAATCTTGAACGTTACAAAAGGTAGAAAGGTACTCTAGTTTTTAACATTTAAAAAATTTTCCAAACCTTTTCTTATACAGTAATTCTTCAATGATACAAGTAATTGTGGAAATGGGATGGGTCCTTACATTCGACAGCTGTTTGTCGTGGTAAGAGTTAGACACACATTCATGCTTCTTGAAGAGGAGACACCATACGTCAATAAGTCATGCTGCGAGAAACACAAGGACACCTACAGGGAATGTTCGGAAGATTTTCAGAAGTTCCTAAAATGAGAGTTCAACTTTTTAGAGGAGAACATACTTTTGTTTCTTTCTTGACCCTCTGGACCACCCAT